GTGGAAAGGTCAAGGTGATTGCAAAAGATATTGGGAGAGGGTGTGGCTATAGAACTTTGAGGCTGATATATGTGGAGGATGGGGCAAAGGAGGACCCAAGGACAAATGAAAGGTTTCCCAACTGGATGGTATATAGCCAAGGTGCTGTTAGGCAAATAAGGAAGTCATTGAAAGCTGGTTTGGGGAAGGTGGGGAAAGACAATGGCTTTGAATAGGTGGATAGGGGACCCATGGGCTGTTGGAAATGCAGGATGAAGGCTAAGAACAGAGATTTGAGAGTCACTCATAATCATCATTGTCATCATCAGATAGCTACCACTTACTGATCACCTATTATGTGCCATGTGCTATGTGAAATAACTTAAGCCTCACAACAAGCAACAGAGTCAGCAGGATCAGCCTTATTTAACAGCTAAGAAAACTGAGAGACAGAAACATGTCCAAAGTCAACCAGCAGGGAAGAGGTAGATCTGGGACCGAGTATATCCCCTACAGCTTTCTCATCAATCCATTAAAGTAGAGTGAAGTTATGGTAGTGTGGACGAGGTGCTCAGGAAAGAGGTAAGAACAGCCTGCAGAACATCTTTAGAGTTGCCACAAAGGCTCTGCCAGAGATGGTTTCCCTCTTAATTACTTGTTAATTATCAACTACCAGGAGCTTCTCTAATGACTTCCAACATAGAAACATAGAAATCATGGAAAATGTCCAGAAGTGCATAGAAAAATAATTAAAATGTGTCCGGGGAATAGAAGATGGCACATATATGACTTGTAACTAACACGCTTAGGGATTTGGTGGTCAAAATGTAGGATTAAGGAGCTCTATAGAGACAGGAGAGCTGAGGATAGAGTTTCAGGGTGATAAAAATATCAAGAGCTGCAGAAAAGAGGGAGGAGGAAGATTGAGGATGGGCCATTAGATTTAGTCACTAAAGATCATTTTAGAAGACTGGTGGGGGCAGGAGGCAGACTGCAAGGAGCCAGGGCATACAGGGTTGGATCAGCAATTTGGCATCTGCTCACAGAGTGAGGCAGAGGGTGTAGACTGGTTCTCCAAGAGGTTTGGTGGAAATAAAAAGAGATTGAGCTAGTGCCCCAGAGCAGGGGAGCCAAGCAGAATTGTGTTTTAGCCTGGGGAGATCTGGGAGTCTGTAGGCTGGTGGAAAGGGGCAATGGAAGGGTAAGGGTGGGAAATACAAGTAAAAGAGAGCCTAGAGGATGAAGTAAATGCACAAAGGAGGCAAGAGAGGGTGAGATCATCAGTTCTAGGAGAGGAAAGTTGCAGGGCAGATTAGGAGGGTTTTGGAGAGTCACAAAGATAACTTTGGAATTAATTCTTTAATTTATTCAATAAATATTGATTGAAGTCCTACTATGGATTGGGCATTCTCCAAGCATTGGGGATAGAGCAGTGAACATGGCAAGCAAAGTTTCTGCCTTCATGAGGCTTATAATCTAGTGGAGGACTTGATGAAACAGATTCAAGAATTTAAAAATCAGGTTTTCTTCTCTACTTTGATGAAGCGTGGACAGTGGCTGGTAGAAGTCTCCTAGGGCAGTGGTCAGCAAACTCATTAGTCAACAGAGCCAAATATCAACAGTACAACGATTGAAATTTCTTTTGAGAGCCAAATTTTTTAAACTTAAACTATATAGGTAGGTACATTGTTATTAACTTAATTAGGGTACTCCTAAGGCTTAGGAAGAGCCACACTCAAGGGGCCAAAGAGCCGCATGTGGCTTGCGAGCCGCAGTTTGCAGACCACGGTCCTAGGGTCATCCCAGCCAGCCTCCTACCTCCTTGATACCATGCAAGGAGGATGGGACCCCTTTACTGTTTTGGAAGCATTTCAGGCAATGGGATTTCATACTTTCCCTCTATTGTCAATAGCATCTCATAACCTGAAATGAATGCTCTTGAGTGTGGGGTTTCCCTAATGAATAGACCAGGTAGAAAAGAGGTGTAATTTCCACATTGTGTCAGTTTCTCTTGGGGTGCTTGGGGAGGGGTAAGAGGGAGACAGAAATTGAGAGAAGGGGGCAGGTAAGTGGCCAGTTCCCCTCACTCTATACTTCTCCTTGGAGGACTTTCCTGCCTAAGCCAAGGCCAATCTACATTCCAGGCCTCAGGAAACTTGCTAGAGTTCTGCAGGGAGAACAGCTGAGCTACAGTACTCTTTCCTTTCTGGCACGATTTCTGCAAAAGCAGGAACTGAATGCCTGGAAGGCAGGTGTGTCTCTGGAGCTCCTGTGTACATGAGGTCATGCTCAGATCAAGACCCAGTAAGCAACTGTCCAATTGGTATGGTGGCAGAATTCTAAGAGGGTCCCCAGACTCCTACCCCCTTGTGTACACATCCTGCACAACACCCACCACCAGTGTGGGTGGGACTAGAGAATGGAGAGAGAGAGACCACTCCTATCATTAGGTTACCAATCTGTTGGTGCTGAGTTCATCAAAAGGTTAGTCATCCTGGATGGCTTGACCTGATCAGTTGAACCCCTTAAAACAAGGTGAAGCCTCAGAGAGACTCTCTCCTATTGGCCTTGACAGGGCAAACAACCCTGCTGTGAAGAGGGCCCTGTGGCTGAGAACAGCAGGCAGCCTCTAATAATGGAGGCCTCAATCTCAAAATCTCAAGGAGCTGAATTCTTTCAACACAGTGAGCTTGGAAGAGGACTCTGAGCTTACATGAGATTGACACTTTGGCTTCAGCCTGGTGAGATCTTATGGACAGAACCCAGCTGAGCTGTGCCCAGACTACTGACATGCAGAACTGTGAGAAAATAAATGGGTGTTGTAAGCTGCTAAATTAGTGGTAACTTGCTATGTAGCAATAGATAACTAATACACTTAGTATGATTTTTTAAAGAGCATATTGAAGGCCCCTACAATATGAAGATCATGAGGACTGGGAGAGCTTTCTGCCTTCTGGTTAAGCTCTTGTACCTTATAAGATGCAAATACTTCTGGGAGGAGTCATATAGGAAGCCTTTGGGCCATCCAAACCTTAATATGAAGTTTTCCAACTATCTTCAGAGAAGAGGGTTGGATGTGGGAGAGAGACAGGAAAGGGCACTGCCGCTAGGTTTGAGGATAGGTAAGGGCACTGGGTGGTGGGACTAGGAGAGAATCTTGAAGACAGGACTGAGGGCATTCATTTTAGCTGGGACTGTTCCAGAGGATTGGGATTATATCTGTGAGGTCTCCTAGGGCAGGAGGGTGCCTCCACTGGTGCAGCTGTGGGGTACCCACAGGGTGGGAACAGAGAGGACTGCTGGGGTTATGGGGAGGCAATCACGCCAGCTGCAGTCCCTGGCCGGTTGAGTGGAGCAGGAAGTGAGTAGAATGATTCTTCCTATTGAGGAATGAAATTTGGCCTACCTGTACCCCTCCCACCCCTGGTCCTGGGGGACATGGGAGGGATAATGCTGTTCTTGCCGTAAGTTGTTTATCTCAGCCCACCTATCCCGATTCTTAATTCAGGAATGACACTTTATGTATGTGGAGCATATGGTTGTGACTAGGACATAATTTCGGGGCCTCGGGACACTTTCTCACTTTCTAAACTTCCCTAAGGACTGATTGGAGCCCACAGTGCTACCATTTGTCCATCCCCTTAACATAGTCCTTGTCCCTTATTTAAATGCAAAAATCTCCAGGAAGGGGCATGAGTAAATGTTACTGGTCATTCACATCTCAGTGGGAATATCTTTCAAGTCCTTTTCTGAGAAATTCTGATAAGAAAGAAGTAAGAGCATAACCTAAGGGGTAGAAAAGACCGTAGACTGGGGTCGGAGCTGAGAGGATGTAAGTAAAGTAGGACAGATTGGCCCCTTGGCAGACATTTTCCTGGGTTCAGATCTACCCAGACGAGGCTGTGTGCCCCCACCAGCAGCCCCACCAAGCCGGGCCCTCGTGGTACAGCTCCCACTGATGAGCACAGAGGTGACGGGAATTGTAAAGCAGGGCAGCCTGGAGGGCCTCCCACTCTTGAGACAGCCATCCATCCTCCATCCTCCACCCATCCATCAACCTTGTAATTAAAGTAACATTTATTCAGCACCTACTATGTGCCAGCCCTTGGGCTGAGTACTGGGAACACAGAGATAATCAAACCCCAATCCCAACCCTTATGATGCCCGAGGGACTGCCCCAATGCAATGACAGGAATGCTGAGAGGGAGGGCAGAGAACAAGGGTAGCAGCAAATTTTTAAAGCATTTCTGTTTAATTTTTAAAAATTATTTTTAAATGTGCACTAAAGTAGAAAGAATAAACTGCCTTACAACCATCACCCAGCTTCAACAATTTTTATTAATATTGTTTCATCTAACCCTTCCACTTTTTTGATGGAGTATTTTAATACAAATTCAAGATATTATGCATTTCACCCATGAATACTTCCATATGCATCTCTGATAGGAACATTTTATTTTGTTAATCCTCACCCAAGGATATTTTTCCATTTATTTTTTCTTTCTTTAGAGAGAGAGAGTGGAAGGGAAGGGAAGGAGAGAGGGAGAGAGCAAGAGGGAGAGGGAGAGCGAGAGTGAGAGAGAGAGAAAGAGGTCGACATGAGAGAGACACATCAATTGGTTGCCTCCCGCATGCACCCGACCCCGTGGGGGATCTAACCCACGACCCTAGCAGGTGGAGGAGTAACACTGGCCAGGGCTGATAGGAACATTTTAAAATCACCCCCAAACCGGCAATATCTTACTACAATCAGCAATGCCTCTCCCCCCTGCCTGAGACCTTACCAAGCCCTGGAACCCATTCCTACATCCTGAGGGTCTTGCCAAGGACCTGGTATCTCCTGCTGACACGCTAGTTTTCAGACCTGAGCCCCTCAGTGTCCCCCCAGTTGTGCAGTCTGGGTCCCTGCAAAGCCTAGCCAGGCGACTCCCTGCATTGATGGACAGCCATCAGCCCCATCTTTTGGAAGGGCTGTAACACCCCTTCCCTAACCGTGCTCTTCCTCCTCTCTGTCCTTGCAGATTGAAATGCTAGAACACAAATACGGGGGCCACCTGGTATCCCGGCGCGCCGCTTGCACCATCCAAACCGCCTTTCGCCAGTACCAGCTCAGCAAGAACTTTGAGAAGATCCGCAACTCGCTCCTGGAGAGCCGCCTGCCGCGGCGTATCTCCCTGCGCAAGGTGCGCGCCCCCACCGCGGAGAGCCTGGCGGCCGAGAAGGCGCTCATGGAGGGCTACGGCTTCTTGGGGCTGCCGCTGGTGCGCTCGCCCTCCCTGCCGCCCACCTTCGCGGGCACGCTCACCGAGCTGGAGGACTCCTTCACCGAGCAGGTGCAGTCCCTGGCCAAGTCCATCGACGACGCCCTCAGCACCTGGAGCCTCAAAACCATGTGCTCCCTGCAGGAGAGCGGCGCCTACCAGATCCACCAAGCCCTGCACGCGGGCGCGGGGCAGCCCGGCCGGGAGGCGGAGATACGGGAGCAGGAGAGCGCCTGCCCGGGGCCCGAGGAAGAGGCCGCCGAGGCCGCGGGCCTGCCCCAGGGCCACAGCAGCACCCTGATGATGGCTTTCCGGGACGTCACGGTGCAGATCGCCAACCAGAACATCTCCGTCTCCTCCTCCACCGCGCTGTCAGTAGCCAACTGCCTGGGCGCACAGACTTCCCCGGCCCCAGCGGAGTCCCTGCGGGGCCAAGCCGAGCTGGGCGAGGCCCGGGGTCAGGAGGCTCCAGTGACCCCAGCCGCGGGCCAGGGAGACGCGCCCGCCGAGACCACGTGCGCAGAGGCGGGAGTTGGGGAGACCCTGCGCGCCAACTCGCCTGAGGCAGAGGATGGGGCGGCGGATGCGATGGTGGAGGAGGCCCCAGCCGCGCAGGTAGAGGAGAGAGAGGAGGAGACCGGGAAGGTGGGGAAAGGGGCCCGGGCCGAGGCCGAGACGGAGGCCGGCGACAACTCGGAGCAGCTGAGCAGCAGCAGCACGTCCGCCAAGTCGGGCTCGGAAGTCTCGGCGGCGTCAGCCTCCAAGGAGGCCCTGCAGGCCATGATCCTGAGCCTGCCGCGCTACCACTGCGAGAACCCTGCCAGCTGCAAGTCACCCACGCTCTCCACTGACACCCTGCGCAAACGCCTCTACCGCATCGGCCTCAACCTCTTTAACATGTGAGTGAGCTCCGGCTCTGGAGCTGCAATGCGTCCTCGGGTGGGGAGGGGGGTGGGGGGAGTAGGGGCCCTGGAGGGAGGGAAGACGGATTAGCGGGGTGCCGGGTAATTTAGCACGTCATCCAGTGTCCTCCCAGATGGCATCGGTGCCATGCCTGCTCCTTGAGATACTGGGTACAAATACAGATATTACTTTTACTTGTTATTCATTTATTTTAAGAAAAATTAGGAACAAAATAGCATCTCAAACCCATGCTTTCACCACTGTTACTGCTTAAAATGAAGCTAGAGTTCAAAAAGTCAGAGACTTTAAAAGAAAATACAATATTAAGTAAATAATAGTACGGGTAACATGAGGATTGAGCAGAAATCCCTCGGGTAAGATCTGAAGTTAGGGACACACAGCATCCCCTGGGGTTGATGAAGAGAGAAACAGACAGTGAGCAAAGGAGAAAGTGAGGAAAGGTGAGTGAGGGACTGGGTGGGGGAAAGAGAAGAGGCCTGCTTTAAGGAGTACAGGTAGAAAGCGGAAGAGGGTGTGGGACAAACGGGGTGGAGGGAGACAGAAAGAGAATGCGGAGCAAGCAGGGGTGTAGTACACAGAGAAGGGGAATGGAAGGAGGGAGAGAATTGACTGTCAGAGCCCACAGCCAGAACCCCCAACCTTTTCTTGCAACCAGAATGTACAGAGCTGGTGGCAGGCAGAGGGCACACACGTGGAAATTTCAAGTATATGAGGCACTGATCTCCACCCTCCACTTGGCCCTTTCGTCAAAGACCTGAGCCAGGAAATACAACATCCCTCCTGCCCACATGCATTATTTATTGAATGCCAGGCACCATGACCACAAAAACGAGTAAGACATCCCCTGGTCTCCAGGAGCGTATATCCTGGGGAGCACAGTTACTATTCATAAAGCATCTGCAATCTTCCCAACAGTGTTAGAGAGAACATTGTTATGCCATTTTACAGAAAGGAAACCGGCTCACAGAGTAAGGTGAGTTGCACACTGACACAGCTAGTAAGCAGCAGGCTTAGGTAAAGCCAGATCTGTCTGACTCCCAACCCATTGCTTTTTCTTTTACCTCAGGCTGCCGTCCTGGTGAGCAGCCTCCACCGGACACACCCCAGCATCACTTCGGCATGCACACAAATGCTCACACAGATACTTGGATCCCTCGAGACAGTGGTTCTCAAACTATCTGTGGAGAAGGACCAGTTTGGGTTTTTACCCAACACGTTGTGGGTCAATACTTTTATAAACTACCATAAAAATGAACTGCTAGAAAAACAATCACATGCTTGGTTGTCCTGAAAATGTCAAAGTGCTATAAAAGGTTCTAAATGCTTACCCTCTATTTCTGTACTTATATTCTCCTGGGCCAGTAAAAAACAGTTCAGGGAGCAGCGTGGATTTGCAGACCAAACTGTGAGCACAATTGCCTTAAGACACAGCACCCACACCCACACCCGCACCCGCACCCACACATAGACTCAAGCCTGAGAAAGTAAATGCTGGGGAGCAGGATTTTTGTGTATCCACCATCCACAGGGAAGAGGGGGCGTGGGGGAGATCTCACTACTCTTTCCCAATCTCATCCTCTTCAGATTCCAGGGTGGGTACTGCATGTAGACAGCAGGATGCAGGCAGAAAGGACTTTGGGGACCTCTTGGCTGGCCTTGGGGACCTCAGGATGAGATCCATGGGAGTGAGGCCAAAAGAAAGAGGACACCTCTTCACCTGCTCTGGAATTCACTTTGCTTGGCCAGACTTCCCCTCCCCGCTTCCTGCCCCACACTGCCTTCACTCCTGTGTGGGGAGGTTCAGGAGCGTGAGGTTCAGGTGAAAGGTGATTCTGATGGAGAAGCCCTCTGTGGAGGAAGGGATCCTGGCATTTCCTGAGAATTCTTTCCAAGGACCTCCAGGCACTATTTTGGGTTCAATTGGCTGGAAGAACAGAAAAAGAAGTCATGGATGGCCTTGGCTCACTCTCTATTCCTTCTCCCCACCCCCATCCACACCCCAGAAACCCGGACAAGGGCATCCAGTTCCTGATCTCACGTGGCTTCATCCCTGATACCCCCATCGGAGTGGCCCATTTCCTGCTCCAGCGTAAAGGCCTCAGCCGGCAAATGATTGGAGAGTTCCTGGGCAACAACAAGAAGCAGTTCAACCACGATGTGCTAGAGTGAGTGCCCTGCCCTCCTGGCACTCTCCCTCCACTCCACCCCCCTTCTCCCCGCTGGGATGTCCAGAGGAGTAGGGGAATCTCAGCTGGGGAAGGACTCAGGGAAGAGAAAGGGACCTCTGAAGTCTTGGTCATTTCCAAGAAATCCTCTCCCCAGTCCTAGCAGCTTCCTGATTGGCCCCAGGAACCAGAATATCCATGACCTTTAGACAGTCTCCACATTTTGACCAGCCTGTTTCCCCTAGAAAGTCTTCTATTTATTGGGCACATCGTGCACAGAGTACCATTGGTACAGAAATGGTCAAGGGTAATAAAAAGACCACCCTCTCTGCCACCCTCAGGGGCAAAAGAATGAGCCTGGAAGAGAAGAGGGCTGTCGGTGCTGGGGCCATCTCGGCCTGGGGAACAGGCCCTCAGCCCACCCTCTCCCTGCCACCTGTTCAGACCCCAGACCCCCCATAAGCATCTGTCTGCTCCCCAACCAGGGTCGTTTTCATATCAGTAGAGGCAAACATGAGGCAGAAAAAAAAGGGGGGGTTAGACTGAGGGTTTTTAGAGCAGGAAAACACTGACCACCCGAATCACAACAAAGAAAATTGCTTTAAAGTCTAATAGATGGGGGGTAAGGTGAGGGGCTGTTTTTGCCAGTGCTCAGCTTTGTTGGTGTGGACGGGCAAGAGTCTCTTCATACTCGCTCCCCTTCTGGAGATGCAGGGCAGAGGTGGCATTACTTGGGGCTGAGGAGCAGGGCCCTGGAGCACCCCTCCCCTGGCAAAGGGAGGGTGAGGTCCTAGGAAGTCTGCTCCAGGCCCCCCCCCACTCCCTGATGCTCCTTCTCTCTTCCACTAGGCCCCTTAGGCTCAGATGTTCTTGAAGGTCATTATTCTATAGGGAGCCACCCCCACTTCCCTCCCCTCTTTCTCCTTGGGTACAGTCAGCAGGAGTTTTTCCCTGGGGTGCTAGGAGAACCTCTCCTTTTTGTCCTTGCTCTTGGAGCAGCAAGGGTCTGCTACAGAGGGGCAGAGGGCTCCTGATGGAGTCTTTGGAAGCGTGGAAGTCACCCAACCTGTCTGGCAAGGTTGTCAATGTCAGAGACCTGGCTTAGTTCAGGGGTGGTCTTGGTGCTGTGTCTTCTGGTAAGTCACTGCCCTCTGGGCCTGCGTTTCCCTGCCTGTAAAGTAGGGATGTTGGATTATGAGGGGTAGACCAGTTGCCCTCTGGAATCCTTGTCACATTCCTAAATTCACTGATAGGGTGGTTGTCTCTAACTGAGCACAGTCAGAGAGTGGGGGATTGGATCCATCTGAGGGACCATGAAATCCCCAGATGGCCCTTAGTTGGCAGAACCCAGCTCCTGCCTGTGACTCTCAATGGCCTTGGACAACTTGCTGTCCCTCTCAGATGGTTGAGATGCTCTGAATGCCTCCCAAGGAAAGTAAACCAATGCATGTGCAGCATTTCCCTGCACCCTCCTTTCCTCTCCCTCTGCCTCTGGCTCCTCTTCCCCTTTACCACACCCCTGCTGTGTAGGGTGCCCCGGGAAACAGGAAAACAGAAAGAGAAAGATTGAGTTTTCCAGGTGCCTTCCTTCCCCTGTTTTTCCTCCATCTGGTTCACCTCTCTGGCTTTTTCATTGGCTTTTGCCCCCCTTCCGTTTTGTAGGGGGGTGAGTGGAGGTGTTGTTCCCTATGGCTTTGTTCTTTCAGATGCTCCAACACCCTGGGTGACCCTGCTTTGTCTCCAAGCTTCACTCACAGTTCCTGACCTTCTGTGTCCCAAGTCCTGGTATTGCCTGGTCCTGGGATTTTAACCTGTCAGCCTCACATTGGCCTAGAGTATTGGGAACACAGGGTTTTTCTCCAGTCCAGGTCATGCTGAGCAGCACAATGGAAACTAATTGCCACCCTCCCTGGGAGATGGAGTGTGTGGGCTGGAGACTCAGACCAGCCATGCAACCTGTGCTGTCGGGGGACCTAGGCTAGGGACTGGGCTAGCAGCTAAGGCAGAGCGAGGCCTGGGATGAGGAGGGCAGTGGGGGGGTGGGGGGGGGGAGAGATGGCTGGACCTGAGAGAAAGAGCCCTCCTCTGAACCTGGCTCTGCTTCTAACAGGCTGTGTAGCTTTTGGAAGGCACTTTGCCTCTAGGCCTCAGTGTTCTCATCTGTAAAGCCAGAGGGTTGGGCTGTGTGACCTCAGAGGTCCCTCCAACTCCTGCGAATCTATCATTGTTCCCATTGCATTCGTAGCACACTGGCATCGTGCAGAGTCATCTGCCCTGAACATGAAGGTCAGGCTCTGTCCTCCTGCCAGAGAGCATCCCTTGGGCTCCAGGGCAGCGTTGGCACCAAAGTTCATGGAAGAACCAGACGATCATTCATCATTCATTCAGTGAACATTGAGTGCCTACCATGTGCTGGAAATGGGGCTGAGCCTGCCATCCTGTGGGGGTGGGGGGGAAGGGGGGGAGAATAGGGGAGGAATAGGAATGGCTCATGGCCTCAGAGAACTTACAGACCCAAGTGTCAATTGGGAGAGAAGAATGGAAAAGCAGGCGTGGAAAGGGAGGCAGGGGGCGGAGCAAGCTTCCTTGGGCATTGTGGGTTTGGGGAAGACTGAGTACAGAGCTGAGCCCCAGTTCAATGCCTCGGTCCTGGTGCTTTATTCTGCAGCCATGCCGGCTTGGGCTCTGAGGTCTCGGCACACTAGCCTCTGTACACAGAAAGGAGCCCTCTTCCCCCAAGTCTGCAGTGTGCTGACCTGCAAAGTGCCAGGAGAAAGAAGGTGGAGAAGCAGGAAGAGGCAGGCACTAGCAGGGGAGCCAGGCGCTGGGGGTTTTGACATTTCTCTGCCACTCAAGCCAACTGTCCTGGTATCTGTTGGATCCTCTGCCTCTTCCTTACTCCCACCAGGGAGAACACACAATAACCACGTCACCGGTGCCATTTCGCCCAGGACTGAAAGGCTTCATTGGGATTCCACACGACTCCCCTGCCCCCGCATGGTGACATTCAGCAAGTTGCATTCATTCTGTACAAAGCTGTTTGCTGAATAAAAGGACATAAGTCACCCATCCCCTTGGAGACTGAGACAGCCTAAGCCACAGCATTCTCCAAGAAGCAGCCAGACAGGAAGGGGAGAGGTTGAAAGCCTCTGGGAGGGGAAAGGGTGGGACCCCCAGCCCCCCCCATTCTTATGCCTGTGGGGGACAGGAAGAGGGGCTGAGCAGGCTGCCTCAGTGCTGCCCTGTGTCTGAGCATCATAGATGCGGTAAGTTTGCCTCCAGAATCAGGCCCTCAGGGCTCTTAGAAGCTGACCTCCCCATCCCTTTGTGTCCTACTTCTGTAGAAGACACATTCCAAAAAGGAATGTATTCAACCGGGCTTCCTTCGAGTACTTATAGAAGGCCTTCTGAGCTCAAAAGGTCCTGGCCATTCGTGTTTACCTGGAAAGGGCAATTTTGTGTTCTCTTAAGGAGAAACCAACCACACTTTCCTCCTTTGCCAAAGGAGATTATAGTACCTACCTCCTATGAATTAAATATTTTAGATGCATATAAAGTGTTTAACTCAGCACCGGATGCTTAGTAAATTCTTTTTTAAATGTTACCTATTTCTGTTATCTTTCCTACTTGAAAGCACAAGGCATTAGATACGCCCCACCATGAACCTACCTACCCCCACACACCCCACCCCCAACACAGGGACACCGCACACTCCTCAGGTCTGGTTTGGACAGCAAGAACTTGCGGGCTTCTGGGGAAGGAAGGGACCATGCTGTGCTCTGAGGAAGTCCTCTGGGTACTGAGGACACAAGGGCAGTGGCCGCCCAGCAGCGGGAGCGGCAGTGGGAGCGAGAGAGCCCCAGGGATTGGGGTCCTTTGGGGCTGATAGCTTCTCCCGCTCGGGTTCACATGGCTGGGAAACGGCTCTGCTCTATTTCCTTTCTGAAATGTTCGCTTCAGCAGGTGTGAAGGCCGGTGAGCGGGGACGGGGGGTGCTGGCTGTGAGTGGTCTCTTCTCCAGCCCGGCCCCCGCGATCTTTGCAATGTGAACCTCGTGCACATGGAGGGCATCGGTATGTCATTCCCACAGAAGTGCCCGAAAAGGGCAGCTTTCGGTTTGAACTGCTAGAAGGAAGTTTCCTGAGTGTTCCTTCTCTCACTGTGTCTACTTCATTCTTTGTTAGATATTAAGAGTTTGACATTTCAGTCGGATTTCATTTTTTAATTCCCACAGAAATGTGTTGGCCAGAGTGTAACAGATTTGTTCTTAGGGGACATTCAGAAATGAAGACAGGCTGTCTGTCACACTCAGCAGTCTGGAAGGCTCTGGCCTTTCGTCGCCAGGAAGGAAGAATTTGAGGACTTCCTGCCCTTAGTACCCTGTGCAACCTCAGAACCGCGGCCTGGTCCCGAGGAATTCCACGAGGAGAGCCCTCGGGGCCCAGGCAGACCCTTATGTGTCTGGAGAAGCGTGGAGAGAGGCCTGGGGCAGAAAGGGACAGAGACTTTGGGGTGATCGCCACTGCTCTGAAAACTTGAGGCTGTCACCACCACAGGAATGGAAGGAGGGGGTCTCTTCTCAAAGTGATGTCTTGGGGTTTTATGGCCTTGACCTCTTACCTCTCCACTGCCTTTCCCCCATCCCCAACCACCCCCCCCCCACACACACACACATAGATGAGAGATTCCCCCTAACAGTAAAGAGTCATGAGCATTGAAGAACCACTTACCCCTGTGGAGATCTTGGAATCCTAAGTGTGGGGTGAACGAGTCCAGAGTTGAGACTCCTTTGGCTTGGCCACGTTATCATATAAACTGGGCTTTTACACAAAAATGAATATACCTACCACCCAGTTCCTTTCTGATTAGTCAGGTCCTAGCCCTGGAGGGGTCTCTCTTAATCCGTGTGTGATGTTCAGGTGTGGCGTAGACTGGCCACTCTGATGCGGGACTTTACAAGAGGCTTCCTGGGAGTTACGATCTCCTGGGGTTTTAGGAGGATCG